TTATAAAAAGAGTATTTGATGTCCCTGTATTATTGAGCCTGAAAGAATGGAGGCACATCAGGTTTTGTAATCTCAATACTTTTGCATTGGTGCCAGAAAGATGACCCATCTCTGAATTACGACAGCCTACAGCAGTATATTGAGTATTTTACTTTAACAGAATTAGAACCTTTCTCAAAGCAACAAAGGAGAGTTGGTTTTTTTGTCATTTAACTGCTTAATTGGATAGCTAGGCTTCTTTAGCTATAAGCTGTAAATTGTCAGTGCCCTAGGGGAAGATGCTGGAAAACAAAATGGTATATTTTTAACATGATTAAATTGTAAGTTCCGATTATTGCTTGAAGCCTGTGTCTGTCGATTGCTGCTCCTTTTTTTATTATTCATGGGATTCCATATTTCTTCCAGAAATGTAACTGTTTATGCAAGTCAAGTGAATCTTCCTTAATGAGCTATAAGTTTTTATTCTAAACAAGTCATTTATAATAGTAAACTCGCATATCTTGATATTTTGTGAGATGTTATGCCTGTATTGCAGAGGTTGGATAGTTTTGTCTATAAATATTGCTGTCCTAATTGTACAGCATGGTTTTAATTTAATGTTACTGTTCAATATTTTCTTCTTATAGAAGAGTCCCATGCCCCTTTTTTGTATAACATGTTTTAATAAATGTTATCTGTCAACTTTGTAAATGTTTTCTTAAGCTTGAATGAAAGGAATGCATGTCTAGTACTAGTATTTAATATTTCACTTTTGCCAAAACAATAAGTGCTTAGACAAAAGTACAAATCAAAAAGTTGTTGATATATAACTTTATTAAATATATAAAGAAAAAGTGTATCTAGTTATGTGTCTTCTTGAAATGTTGAGAACATGCCAGCCTAGCCTAAGAAAACACTAAACTAAAACCTGATTTTTATAACACAGTAAGTTGATGAATTTGGGGAATTGGACCCATTTCTGTGGTGCTTAGGTAATTAGTTCCCATGTTAGTCCAAATTTATCGAACAGGTTTTATTATAACTTTTTTTTTTCAGAACAGTGATCCGTAAAGTTACGATACAGAATGTACAGGCTGATAAGAAAATTCCAGAACACTTACTTCATAGTAGCAGCAACAGCATGTCCAAAAAGCCTACAGGTAAATTTGAAGTAGGTATGGGTAACATGTAGACTTTTTTTCTTGTCTGAGAGAAATTTCATACTGTGAAAGTATTAAAGATTAAATTTCCATTCTCTTCCTGTGAGGATTCCTCCTCTCCCTGATTAAATTTAGGTACTCTTACTGAACAATTTACTTTGTCCAACCTCTATCTATTCAGTCCTCATAATGCCTGCTAGCTAAACAAAAAATGAGCTTACTCTCATTTAAAGTATATTCAGCTAATTCCTGGAGAAACCAGTATTTGTGTACCATACACCTCAGTCTTCAGCAATTTTAAATGGAATATGGTACAAGAAAATTCATTTCCTATTGCTGTTGGCTGCACTTACTGAATGCACGTAAGAAGAAGCCCAAAGTATTCTGTCCATTGAGAATAAGTCCTTTGATTTTCTTTGATATGAGTGAACAAATAGCATTTGTGTGTCTGTTATTTAACTTTGTTATTTATGCCCTGGCCAGGATGTTCCCCAAGCTGCTACTTTACCCTGATTACCATTCAATGCCTATTTTCTGAAGACTGTCTTCCATATGTTTTATAGGGAGAGAATTACATACCTCCAGAAGACAAAATGTGATGTCCAAAGTTAGATCATGTGGGTATCCCAGCAGTGCCTACTGGCACCAGTCACTGACTTTTATCAAGCAGTACATGAGCTATCTGGTAAAACATTGAATCATTACCCTACATAAACTACAAGCATATGCAGGATAAGCTCAAAAAAGATGTGCATGTTAGCTAAAACAATTTGTGTAAGTTATAAGAACAGCGTAACACTCTTTAATTCCTCAAGCTGCTCAGCCAGAGTGGCAGTTGCCAGCTGGGGTGGGGGGTGTCCTCTCCCAAAATCTTCCTTACTGCATCTCTGTGCACTGGGACGGGTGTGCCATCTGAGGTGCGCCCAAGACTCAGGACAGCAAAAAATGGGTGTCTCAAAATGCAGGAGATTGTGCTGTTCTGGAAATGAATACTTCTCATGTAACGCTTTGTTGTTCATAGTAATCTCTAACGCTTTTCATTTTTTCTAAATGCTCCACTACTGGTACATTTTTTCATTGGTGTGTTACGTTAGAAGCTAAGCACCGTGAGAATTCTGGGAACGGATTTGCTTGCGTGTGCGCTGGCTTCAGTGAAAGCTTCAACTCTGTTCGGTGTCCGTGGGGCAGCTGTGCTGCAAGGGAGGCTGCAGCCCTCGCCGGCAGCGGGGCGGGCCCGCAGCTGGGGGGCGCGGGGGGCAGGGGCCCGCGGGGGGCAGGGGCCCGCGGGGGACCGGGGCCCGCGGGGGGCCGGGGCCCGCACTCCCGGCTCGGCGGAGCCCCCCGAGCCTCGGGCGGGGCGGCGCGGCGACGCGACTCCGCCCACTGCCGGGACACGTCACCGGGAAGCGGAAGTGCTGCCGGGCGAATCAGTTCCGGGTGCGAGCAGCTGTGGGAGCGGGCGGGAAGCGGCGGGGGCAGCGGGCAGGGGCCGGGCCGGGCCGGGCCGGCGACCCGCCATGTGAGAGACGCTGACAGCGCCAGGTGAGCAGCGGGCGGGCTGGCGCGGCGCGGCAGGCGCCTGTCCCGGGGGCCGCGCGGCCCTCCCGCGCGGGACGGAGGCCGTTCTCCGGGCAGGGGGTCCCGGCACCCTGACAGGCCCCTCAGGGGCGGCGGCCCGGGCGCGGCGCAGGGCCCGGCCGTGGTCCCGCGCCAGCGGGCGAGGGCTCGGTTCCGCGGCCGCCCGTGAGCCGCGGGGGCGAGCCGCGACGCGGGCCGCTTGGAAGCGGCGGCAGCCTCTCTGCGGCCGCGACCGATCCCGGCTCCGCCGGGGTTGCTCCCCTCCTAGGCTCGCCTCGCCAGAAACTGTCGCCGCGCAGCCCGAGTCTGTCCCTCTACTGTCGTTTGGGCTTGCTGGTAGGGCGGACGAGCGCGTCTGTGTCTTGGTCTTTTATTAACCAGAGCAAGGCATAAAATAACTGGCACGGTGGTCTTGGGCAGGCGAACCTGGTTGACAGAGGTGCCGTTGATAGTGTTATTGCCAGAAGTTGGTAGAGCCTTTGGCTGCTGCTGTTCCATTGGAGGAGTTGGAAGTTTTAGTGAAGTCCCAGTCTCTGTAATTGCAAAGGCCCTTCGGAATCCCTGCAGATGCGCATAGCATACAGAATTGGAGTTATTTTAGAATAAACCAAAGTTGAGAGTGAATTTGGAACAAGCCTGAACAGTCTCAGAATCATTGATGTGGGAGTGCCTGGGTGCCAGAAAAGAAAGGTGGTGTAACATTAGCTGCACTGCAGTCATTACATGTTACAGAATTCTCAGCACCTGGAATCGGGATGTGCCTGGGCTTCATTGCCTGCTCAATAAGAGCTACAAAACGTTCAGTCTATCAGAAGTAATGGACTTGGAAAATACTATGAAAATGTGTTCTTCACAACTGCTTTAAATCTCTTGCAAAAAAATTATTGGTGATATATACAGAATATAGCTACTTCACTGCTTAAAAGAAATATCGGAGCCAAAGTTACAATTTGATGAAGAGTGACTAAGATTTAAAAAAAAAAAAAAAAAAGTAGAAGGATTAAAATGCATAATACTAACCAAGTATTAACTTGGTGGCAAATAATTTATTATTTTAATAGCAGAAGATACAAAAGCTCTCTCACCCTCCACTCCCTCAATTCTTAATGTTCTTGGTGTATATATATTGCAAGCCTCGTGCTGTCAGTTGGGGGTTTTTTAATACTGATAGTGACATCTCAAATTTGTCAGCTATTCAGAAAATGTGGTTAGAAACTATCTAGGATTACAGAATGGTTATGCTATTATGTCTGTGCACAAAATAAAAGTTTGTGATCATTACTTGTAAGACCTTGCTGATTTAAAGTGTACGTATCATAAATATGTCTTTTTATTTATCTGACACAATACTTTTGCTGATCTTGGCTATCTTCAGTTTCTCTTCTAGCAACTTTCTTTTTTTTTTCCTGTGTTCAGAAATAGATACATACTACAAAAGCAGTTACAGGTAACTTGACTGCTAGAACCAAAATTAAGAGATTATTTGTACTGAGGTTTCTAATCATTGGGTGTAACTTTGTTTATGCATCAATAGTTGTTTCATTTTTACTCCATACAGGTAAGCAATTGTGAGGAAGACGATTTGAGAATAAGGGATGAAGGTGGCCTTTGGACTTCGGTTTCACAAATGCTTTGTTTGGATGTTTGCTCAAATAAGAGGCCTCTGTTATTTTTTTTCTATGAAATGCTAAATACGCAGTTCTGATAATTTCCCTGCTGCACCATACTAAGCATTGAGAATAGGTTTGTAGTGTTAGTGGTATTAACATCTGTGTATGTTTGTGTGTGTATATCTATACATACATATAGATCAATTGGTTTTAATTTTGATGTTAAATCATACACTCCAACTGGTTTTCTATTCATCATGTGAATGTTGATGAGGTAAAAATAAATTCTTTTCCATTTTTGTTAGACAAAAGTCTGAATTAGTGAAAAAATTTTTTGCAAAAAGTGTGGGGGTTTAATGTATTGCTCACCCATGCAAATGATGGGATTGTGTTCTGCAACATTTTAGGAGTGCTTGCCTGATAGACATGAGTTTTACTCTTGATTTCACTGTGGATGTTCAGTACTTTCAGCAGAGTGTTTCCTCTGTCTACAGGGGAGGAATAATGATGTTGACTTTCTCTGTAGTGTTCTGATATCTGTTGATGCAAATGTGCAAGAACTAAGTTTCCCAGTAACGACATTTCAGCCAGTACTAACTGGCTTCAGTTTCTGAGGAAACTGGGTTTTCCTGCATTTTTACGAGGTAATATAATGAATTTTTAAATTGTTGTGTAGTCTTCACTACTATACCAGATTATGTATTTTAATGTAAAATAGAAGTGAAGCAGACTAATTTTCAATGCTGTTTTCCAATTAATAAGATGACACAGGTACCTCTTATTTTATACTTTACTACAGATAATTCACTATTTCAAGTTTTGGCTGAACTGTCTATATTTCCTTTAATTCCATTGGGCACTTTTTTTAGCTTAGTTCAAACTTTCCCAAAATTTAACACGCTTTGTGAATTAAATCTGTATGGTGTGATTTGTGAATGGTTAACATTTGGAGGAATGATGATTTGAAATCCCATTTTGTTAAGAAACAATCCAATTTCTTCTATAGCCATTTATTTTTGAGAGACATGGTCATTTCCATAACTTTTGCATTACTCTATTATTAGACTACTAAAAAGGTAGCTTAGTTCTCATTTGGGATTTTTTTTGGATGGCTTTTGAATTGGGAATCAACTATATTGTAAACAGTTCAAAACGGTACTGAGCTTAACAAAAGTATGGACAAGGAGTTTGTACGTAAACATAGGTGCCTGCTAGCTGTTTTGAATCATACTGGCAGTTTTATTTACATGTTAGAGGTGAATCTAACAATGAGGTGTTAAACTGAGCTGTAAAGGGTTTTGAGATCACTGTAGGTATAAAAGATGTCATCAGTAAAGTGCATTTTACCCTACTGGAGAAGCTGCAAATAAAATATGAAACTTCATGTTGCAACAGAAATATTAACAGAATTTTCTGTTGCACTGTAGCATCTCTTAAGATCTGCATATCAACTCTTTGTTATATAATTTCCATCTGAGTCCGTGACAGTCACATATTTATTACAAGATATCAAAATTTCATGTTTATATGCAGCAATCTCTCTAGTTGTATTCTCCAGTGTGTCTAAGCTTAAATATATTTGAGTGAGCTTAGAAACAAAGAATATAAATCAGCCTAAGCAAATATTACTGTTTGATTTATTCTTCTGTGGTTAATAATGCTTTTAGAATTCAGCTTTGTAATTCTCTGGAAACCAAGAGTTCACCAAAGAAGAGTATACATAAGAGCGATTTAGGAAATGATGTTGTTTGACGTTGCAAATACTTGAGCAGTAAGTCCATACTTGTTTTAATGTTCCATTCAAAGGAAGCTTTGAAAGAAAGTGGATGAAGCTATCACTTTATGTGGTCAAGCAGATACTTGCAATTTTACCACTAATTTTAAAGCCTGTTGCTTTGTGTTGTTAATTTATTTGGTTTTAGTTAACAGTCACGTGCTTGTGAATTACTGCTATGAGATAGCATCTGGGTGACCAAATTCAGAAAGATTAAAGTTCTCAACAGGTTTTTGCTTACTGTAGTGCTATGATTTATGTGATAAATGTTGTGTTAAAGACTTTTTGAATGTTAGTTCTATGTAGTGCAGTCAAAGTTTAGAAAAATCTAGTTAGTACACAAAGACTTGTTTTATATATCCCTTCCATTAAGCTCCAAGTGTTCCCTTAAGTATCAAATGGAAACATTCCCCCGGTCATCCTTTCTGTGGTTTAAAGGAGCTGGTTTAAATTTATAAATATATGTCTATGTACATCTATGATTTTAGTGCATAAATTACATGGAGAAGTGTGTCATTAGGTATATCTTCTGTCACCAGGTGGATGCCTCTGGCAGTGTGTTGTATAGACCACAAAACAGACTGCATGGATGAGCTGAAAATACAGAAGACTGCTTTTATTATTTATTGTGTGTGTTTCTGGAAAAACCTCTAATGCAATTGTTTTTTAAATCTGTAAAAAACAGTAGTATCTGATTGTCTCACCTGTGGTAAATATAAAATAATTTAGCCTTCATGATTCAGAGTTCTTAAGAAAATGGCTGCTTGAATTTAGGAAGAATTGATGCAAAAAACTGCTACATATTTACATAGTACTGCTTATGTTGTTATAAGTGTGTTGTAACTCTCAGTTGTTAGAATAGCTTTTTTCTTTTTTTGTGTGTGTGTTTTGTTTATGGTTTTGTTTTGTTTTGTTTTTTAAATGACTGTGATACTAAAATCTGTTTTCTAGCTATAAGGAAGCTTACCATACTTCAGGGGCCAGATTTTCAGTGAAGCAGCAGTGCTGTGTGTCATGCTACATAAGGCCATCCAAGGGCACTATATGTTGACTTTTAAAAGATAATATACTTTAGTGTTATGAGAGGTGCAAACTGGTAAAAGATTATATGATCAGATTCTTCCCTGTTTTCAAAGATTATTTAAAGAGGACAAATGTCCCTAGACTGTGACATTATCTGATTGCAGCTTTTCTTTGATACTGGGAGCATTAACTATTGTAGCTGCTTCAATCTGAAGAGTAAAGCAAATGCAAACTCAAAGGAGTGACAGTCATAAAGATTTTTGCCCTAAAAATTCCATGATCACAGCTGATAGGATTACATTCCTAGGTTAAAATTCTCTTGAATGATGATACATTTTTTCAGTGATGTCTTAAGTTCTCACAGATGGTGTAGTAAATACTGAATCCTACAAAATGCAAGGGAGAAGTGCACAGATTTATACTAATACCTGTTTATTTTCTTGCTTTTTCTCTGTATTCTGAGCAATAATGTGTGAAGTATCCATTCTTGGTGTCACGGAACACTTTTTTTGTTTTAGTCTTAATTTTCATTATGATCCTCCAAACTTTTCTATGTATTTTGTTTTCAGACACATGCTACAACAGTAGTGATTTGTAACGTGTTTTTTCCCCAAGGAACTCATGTTGCTGAGCTAACTGAAGAAAATGCAAGGGATCTTTTCTCACACCTTTGTGTGAGTTAAAATTAGCATAATTTGTATCATTCACCTGTTTGTGAGAATGGCAAATCATACATCAGTGAGTGAATGAAATTAAACAGGTGCAGACTTAGAAGCAGAAACTAATACCACATTGGCAAACACACAGCTTCGTGTTGTAGTTATATGATGCTTCCCTGCTGCTACTGTATGATGTCAGTAAAATTAAATACCATATGTGTTTTGTCACCATCTATTCTTGAATTTTTTAAGTGAAGAAAGATCTTTCATAAAACTTAATTTTTAAAGTAAGTTTCTTTTGAAATCTAATGAGAAATGTTAAATCCATGTCATTCTCATGTTCACAGATGAATTCAGTGAACACTTTTATTTGAAGACAGGGCAGCGATCCACTACTAATAAATTTGTACTATGGTTTACATTTGCTGTATAAGACCCTGATGAATAAATGTAATGCAGACGTGAAGAGAATTGATATGATTCTTTTGAGTGTTACTGGATCATCTCCTACAGAAATAGACAGGAGGCTCAACCACAGAGCCCTGCTAAGACTTAGTGATCTTAGTGTCCATTTCTGGCCTGTGCTTTAAAACTTTTAGAAATCCTTCAGCCAATTTCTTGGGTACATAATATCTGTGAATACCTCAAACACTTTGATCTACTTGTGCAGGAAGGTTAAGAGAGGACCTATTCATAGATAGGTGTGCAGAGGCGGACTTGGATTTTTCAGCCTAACATTACACTGTCCCATGGTCAGGAGTGGAAGCTAAAACAGGATGAAATGCATTAGTTTTTAACGATGAGAGTACTTAAGATTTCTATGATTTATCATGATTCTTGCTACCCCCCAAATGCTTGAGTTAATATAATACAAATAAAATTATCTTGATTCTGAACTACCATACTGTGGTCTCGGACCTAAAGAACACAGGTTACCTCCATATGTGCTGAAATATCATGGAAGGTACTAGACATGACTTCTGACTACACATTCTTTTTAATTTTTTTTTTCTTCACCTCAGCTAATTCTATAAAGAATTGTTATGTGAATTAAATTAGTTACATTATTGTTGGTTTGGGAAGCAAAGCTTCCTTATTAACTGTCTATTGGTCTGGTTAACTGCAGAGGTAATTTTTTTCTTTGGAGCATACAGTGGATGTGTCCAAAGTTAATTTGCATTTTAGAGTACCTTTCTGCTTCAGTTTAATGCTACTCACTTCACATCAAAAGAGACGAGGTTAAGGAGATTCTTTAACTTGGAGGAAGCTGTTAAAAAAATTGGGGGAATTGGGGGGATTCTTATTAGCCTTTTCAAACTGTGGTGACCTTTCAGGACTGTTTCAGAAATGCTTCAACCATAAATCATACTGTCATGAAAGAGCTACTGGTCTTCCAGCCCTGATGAATGATTGAGTATTGTTATGGTGTGATACCCTGCTGAGCAATATTTTGGTTAATTCATCTGGAATTTGATTATGGCACTGCTAATTTGATTCTGTATACAAATAAACCTCGTGTATGGGAATATAAGCTAAAGATTACTTTTATTTTCTAGTGGCATTGGGGATTTATGTCAATAACTAAGATCATTCTTCTTATAATCATTATTCATCAATAAAACATTGCTAGTGGTGCCTGCTTCTCTGGTGTGTGTAATGCCCAGATTTTTCCCCATGTCTTGTCTTCCTGAATCAGTGCAAGAAAGTTGGGGTACTCTGGTACTAACACCAGAAAAATTACTGCAGTCCCAGTGCTGCTCCTTCTACAATCCTTCCTACTCCTGAATGTGGTGTTCATTGGTAACCTTGTCAGTTCCAGGACCTCTTCAACTAGAGATTTCAGTTTGGCTGAAAGAAGGGTTCCCTTCTGTCAAATGCTGCTGCTGTTCAAAATTCTTGTTATTTAACCTCAGCTTTCTACAGATGTTTTTAAGATCACAGGAAGCACGTGTCTTCAAAGGAAGAAACTAAGGTGGAAAAGTAGTCACAAGAAGTGCGTGCTGTAGCTTGTTCACTTTCTTTTTTAAGAGCAGATGGGTATAGGAGCTCATTGTCCACTGTTTTTTGGTCAGTATTTTGTGTACTTATCTGTTTGCTTTCAAAGCAATACTGTACGTTCCTTTGATCTCTATTTTTGCTTTTTACTGCTTATCTGCTACACTGACAGCCAGACTTTTAGACCTTTAACTCTACCATCCTCTCCACTCACTACCATGATTTGAGCCGTTTGTCCCTAACGTTTTAAGGAAAATAAGCTTCTTTGTTTCCCAAAAGAAAGATGAAACAACTCTGAGAACAAGGATGTAGAATTGCTTATAGATATATATGCCTGTGGAGATAATTAGATGTTCTAACAGCTGTGATGAGCAAGGATCGCTGAGGATCCTTGGTGTCCCACATTCCTGGTTCTCATGCCTTCTCTGGTATATGCTCACAGTCCGTTTTCAATGTGTGGCCATGTCCTAGGGAGTAGGAATTCATCTAGAGATGCTAAGATGCCATGATCAGAAGAACTTTTTTTTTTTTCTCCATGGTAAGACATAAAATGTCCATCTCCTTTCTACTCAGGTGCCTATACTTAATTCATTCTTTCTGTCTGGACTAGTGCTATTGGTGACAGTTTATATTTTGTCTGGGACTAACTTGTTCATTTTGCTGAGTAAGAGCCCTTAGGGAAGTATGGGGCAAGGAGGAAAGCCACTTTCTCTATACGACAAACTTTCTGTGCGTTCTAGACACAAAAAAAGGAGTAATTTCTGATGGGATTTGAGTGATGCTTGACCAGGATCTGGTTCTTTAGCTCAAGGATGCTGCAGGAATGACAAATTGTCGCTGCTGGGGACCGGTCTTGTAGTTTGTACACAGTTCTCAACCTAGGTAACTTGCTTGTCACTTCAGGGCAGCAAAACCTCTTCCTCCACTTAGCAAAGAGAGGTTTATTCAGGAATGTCCTGATGTTGCATCTGTGCATGGCTCACAAGGTAATGGACCTATGTTGGGTTTATAAGGAAGCCTGCTGGCCTGTCAAATGAGAAGTTGACAAATGTGTGTCCTAACTGCTGAGATTTCTGTCTTCCCAATGGAGTGGATGCATCTGCTAGAACTTAAACAGTGGTTCTCTGCACAACATGCAGGGATGCTCTGAATAACAAGGTTAATCTTGCCATTTAACTACACCACAGTTAGATTGGGTTTTGTTTGTTTGTTGTAATGTTTGATTTCTGACCTATGTCTGACTTGCATCAGCTCACAAGCTCTGAATCATTTTATAGCTTTGTTCACTGAATAAAAGAACTGTCCTGCCAAAACTATCTTTGTATAGATGGCTGCAGCCATATCACTTCTGTTCACCTTTTAGTCCTTATTTCCCTTATCAGATATAAGGGCATATAAAATGTCTTTTCGCCTGCTTTTACGTAACTGTAAAAACTCAGATGAAGTCTGTTTTACCCATTTTAATCTATGACACATTGGTAATTTACAGAGTTTAGCAACTCTGATAACCTGATTTTGAATGTTCTGTGAGAGTTTTTGACAGTTTTCTGTATCAGACATAATGTTAATAAATTCAGGGAGCTAGCTGTCTTATTTCTCTGCTGAACAGAAGTTCCATTTGTGAAGATTATGAATGTTAGTTTTAAGTGACAGTCAGCCAATATAGCTCCAGTTCTTCCTTGTAGGCTTTTTATCATATTCCTTCCTGTTGATTTTGTTTTTAGAGTGCCTGAATTTTCATAATTTGATTTAAATTGTTCATATGTCCCATTGCAGCATGTAACATAAGACATAAATAGAAAAAAAAAAATCCACTAGTATGTTGTGATACATTGGACATGCTTCCTGCATCAGAAGTCAATGGATGATGTTGAGATCTGTTTGTTCAATTGGAAAAGCAGGTATGGTGGCAATATTATCTGTTTAGACTTCTGCATTAATAAGAACAAGAATATCAATAAAAGTCTGAAGATTCTTGGGCACTTGATTAGGGGCCCAGTCTTGGAAATGTAAGGTGATGTCTGCTACAGATAGACACTCTCAGGGGGACAAGTGTGTGTGTGCTTTTTATGATAATAGCCTATGAAAAATTGGTAAAGTGCTTTTCTTTAGATCTTGTTTTGAAATGTATACATTTTTCTAAAGCCTCTTGGAACATCCTTTCCCAGTGTGTCAGGCAAGTTTGAGTACCCACGGCTTTTAAGTTAGATTAGAATTTAAATGTCAGGTCATTCCAGCTAGGAAACCACTGCTCTGTCAGATGACTGTCAAAGGTCACATCATGGTTTATTATTTAGAAAAAAAAAAAAATCACAAAAGGAAAATTAAAAAAATTTAAAGCCCACAGGTGGCTCAAACATTTTTCCTTCAAATGCTGCCCTACATATTGACACAAATTCACTATTATCTGGGAACCTCTGACACACTGGGTATATAGTTTGGAATTGAGTCCACACTTAAGTGTTTTCTTTCACTAGGATTTCCAAGTTTTATCATGTGAATATTGAAAGATTGATTTTTTTTTTTTTTAATAATTATTGAGATTATTTTCTAAGGAGGTAAATTATTAAACTGAAATGTCACTGGTGTAGTATACTCATCTCCTCTGAAATAAATTTGACATATCTAAACCTAAGTAATGTTTTTTTTAAATATTTGTGTGTATGGATGCACACACACACACACATATGCACCCGTGGCTTTTCTTTAGCAGGTTTTTCAGACTTGCTGAAGTACCTTCCAAAATCAATTCTTGGGCAATTTAATAATGCAGTTCCATGCAAGTATTGATGTAGTATCTGGGTTGAAGACCTACTAAAGGTTCTGAAGTTTGTAACTTGCCTAGTGACTTTAAAATGAATATTCTTTTGGGAGGGTGGGGCTACTGTTGTGCAGTTCTTACCAGGGAGTGAAATTGCAAAGTTCCTTTTAGGACATAGATTGTTCCAGGGAGCCTGTAATGTATTATGAGCAATTGAATTATGAATGTTGCAGAGGGGTAATTCAAATTACAGAAATGCAAGAAAGGGGTAGATTAAGACTCTACTTTTTACATTATATCAAGTATTTATACCAATTCTTTTGTTGTAATGCACTGTAAACAGATCAATGTGATGATTTCATGTCAACATGTGTAAGCATTTATTTTTTAAATGGAAAATTCTGCATTTATTCTCAGTTGTAAATCTTCTCATTTTTCTTTCAGATTACTCTTTACATCAGTAGAAATGGACAGCAGCAGTTTCATTCAGTTTGATGTGCCTGAGTACAGCAACACTGTTCTGAGCCAGTTAAACGAACTCCGCCTGCAAGGAAAGCTATGTGATATAATTGTGCATATTCAGGGTCAGCCATTTCGAGCCCATAAAGCTGTCCTAGCTGCCAGTTCTCCGTATTTCCGTGACCATTCAGCATTAAGCACCATGAGTGGCTTATCAATATCAGTTATTAAAAATCCCAATGTTTTTGAACAGTTGCTTTCTTTTTGTTACACTGGAAGGATGTCCTTACAGCTGAAGGATGTTGTTAGTTTTCTGACTGCAGCTAGCTTTCTACAGATGCAGTGCGTCATTGATAAATGCACACAGATACTGGAGAGTATTCATTCAAAGATAAGTGTTGGTGATGTTGACTCTGTCACTGTTGGTGCTGAAGAAAATTCAGAAAATCGCAACGGAGTTAAAGACAGCAGCTACTTTGCCAATCCTATTGAGATATCTCCCCCCTATTGCTCTCAGGTGCGACAGTCAACATCAAGCAGCGATCTTAGGATGGAAACTACTCCAGGCAAAACTCTACGTAGTCGTCTGCAAGAAGAAGGGCATTCAGATCGAGGAAGCAGCGGGAGTATCTCTGAATATGAGATTCAGATTGAAGGTGATCATGAGCAAGGAGACCTGATAGTAAGGGAAAGTCAGATTGCAGAGGTGAAAGTTAAAATGGAGAAATCTGACAGGCCAAGTTGCTCTGATAGCTCTTCCCTTGGTGATGATGGATATCATACCGAAATGGTGGATGGAGAGCAAGTGGTGGCAGTAAATGTTGGTTCCTATGGGTCTGTCTTACAACATGTTTATTCGTTTACCCATGCTTCATCACAGGCTACAGGTGTGTCTGAAACCTTTGGAAGCCTGAGCAATACAAGTCCTTCAAGGTCAATGCTGAGCTGTTTCAGAGGGGGTCGTGCACGCCAAAAACGGGTATCCACTGGTCACTTGCATAGTGATGTTCAGGGCTTGGTGCAAGGGGCTGACAGTGAATCCATGGTGAGTAACCCAGGATATGAAAACAGTCCACGGGAAAGAAATACAAGAGGTCATTGGTATCCATACAATGAGAGGCTAATTTGCATTTACTGTGGAAAGTCTTTCAACCAGAAAGGGAGCCTTGATCGTCACATGCGATTGCACATGGGAATAACTCCTTTCGTGTGCAAGTTTTGTGGGAAGAAATATACCCGCAAGGACCAACTTGAGTATCATATTCGTGGTCACACAGATGACAAGCCCTTTCGCTGTGAGATCTGTGGAAAATGTTTTCCTTTCCAGGGTACACTCAACCAGCACTTGCGAAAAAACCACCCTGGGGTAACAGAAGTAAGAAACAGGGTAGAGTCTCCAGACAGAACAGAAGCGTTTGTGGAACAGAAAGTAGATAACGATGCTTCAGCTTCTGAAACTATGGATTCTAGTATGGAAATTCATGCAATGTCTAACACATCTGATTAAAATATTACATTCTAAGTGCAACACAAACGAGCACATTAATAATGTAATTTTTAAATCTTTTATTCTTTTAATAATCTTCAGTACAAGTATAACAGCCTTTTAATTTTCCTGACCATGTGGAAATCAGTTTGAAATGGTTTCTGGAGAAGGCTACAGAAATATTCTTTGTTTTTGAAGGAGGCTGGGTTGTTGTTTCTTTTTTACTTTTGAAGATGTGCAAAATATAAAAGACAGTGTGCTGGGGAAAGGAAGAGTCTTCTAAAGCGTCCCTACTGGTTGATCTGTCAAGATACAAGTTCCAGTGGAGAAAGATATTAGAATAAGATTGGCAGCTCTGCTGGATACACCAAGAAGCTGTACTCTCCCTTATTTTGTCTCTTAAATCCTGTGCTGGTAATGAGTTACACAGCAGTGGGGAGAGAGAATATTATAGCTTGGATTCCTTCTGTGTGTCATGATGAAATCTGTTTGCTTTTACTAACTTTTTGGTAGTTAGTCTGTTATATATATAAATTTGCTTTATATATATAAAATGCTTTCACTTTTCCTATTCTGGTTGAGGTGAACGTCAAGGTTTATACCATGTACCACTCTTTCAATTGCTAGGTCTCCTCTCTGCTTAGGATTTAGGACTTTGGACTTTGGGAGGATGGTTTTGGTTTTAAAAGAATGTTGTTTGGTTTTCATTTTATTAAACTATTACTTTTGTGCAAAAATGAGCAAAGTGAATTACCTTGTTTTAATAGCTTTGCTTTATAACATATGTAAACCAAATGCCATAAATCTATTAAATTATGGTTGAATTGTTGAGGGGTTTTGTTGGTTGTCTAGAATGCAAGCTGGACAACCTGTGGTGCTGACCTTTTTATATATATAGAGATAGATATATCTATATATATATATAGATATATATATATATATAAAATTAGCAAACCTAAAAGTAGCATTGTGGTTTTAAATGTGTTTTTACTGGCCTCAGAATCTACCTTCATTTCGTACTGTAGAACCATACCAGGTAATTAAATTTAACTTCATCACTCTTTATGGTTGATTAAAACCTGAGAGAGATGTTGTAGTTTAAACTACAGTATTTCCAAGCAGTGTTTTAATAGGTCTCTTCAAAGAGAGCTGTTTTCAGGTGCACATTGACTTCCTACTTAAACCTCCAAGTGATATGTCAGCACTTGGAATTTGTACTTTTTTTTGTATTAAAAAAAAAAAAAAACCAACAAAAAAAAAAAAACCAAAACAAACTCTATGGGAATTTCAAGCAATATGTCTGTTATTTCATGTGTGAGTATTACAGAGTTGCTATGGCTTCCCTACTATTTTCAGTGGTTGTTTTCTGCATAAAGGAACTACCAACAACTTTAAAAATACTCTAAATCTTTTTGTTTCACCAAATGTTTTTTTTTTGTTTTTTTTTTTTTAATATGGTGCTAACTTCATCATTTAGGTCAGTATAATATATAAAATGTGAAACATAATGGTAACAGTTAAGCAAAAACAAACAAACAAAAAAAAACAAACCCTAAACCAACAACAAACAAAAAATAAAACCCACCCTAAACAAACAAACCACAACAAAAAAACCCAATAGCTTAAGAGACCTCAAAAGCATGAACTGGCAAACACTACTGTAAAATTCTACCTGATGAACAGAATTAAATTAATCACATGCTTCTTTAAAATACAGGCTTTTCTATAATTGGGCCTTATGTTTATCAAATATTGAAAATACATCTGTGAACATGCTGTTTAACTCCTGAAATTTATAAAAGAAAAGCTTGTTCCTAAATTACAGGAAAGCAAAAAGGTAGGTTTGCTGTCTTGTAAAGCTTTTTTGGCTCCTGTGAAGTTGGGGCATATTTGTGCTGTAGCTTTATTGCATACACTAGTTATTACTATTGTGACAGTCTGCAGTAAGAATTAATTTCACTAAATACAGATTTACAGTATAAACCCCACCTGTTCCATTGGAGCAGTTTCAGTTAAATTGAGTACACAGTTTGCCTCTTTGTCCTAAAACTGCCTAGATAAAGAGGCAGAGGGTGGGGAGATGTTTCTTTCCTTGAAGCAACAATAGAACTGTTGTTTCCAGTAAGGGAAAGCATATGTCTGTGTCTAGGGAAGGTAGTCTATATGTTTACCCACTTAAAAACATGTTGGTGTTTTTTCTGATACTGTTTTTTTCCTAAATGTTTGTTTTAAGTAATTAAATGCAAAAAAAAAAAAAAAAAAAAAAGTGTTTTGATAAATTAAGTTTGAGACCTGCAAAATCCAAGAAATGTACAGTTATTCTTAACCCTTTATCTTGGGCCTGTGCTGTGGTGCCTTTGGTGTGACTTTTTCCATGGAAGCATGAGTTGAGGATAGCAGGATATGGGTACTAATTTTATATTTCTTGAATTTCTCTGTGTCACAATCTTAACATTATTTAAATCTAGTTCTTTGTATTTGTAAATGTATTAAAATGGTTTGAGTTTACCAAAGAGTGACTTATCCAAAATTGTCTCTGACAAAAACAAACAAAAAAACCAACATCACTTTGATTGTACAGGTTCAGGTTCAGAACATTGTAACGGGACTGTTAAGGGGCAGGAAATGATAACTTTTTCTACAGAATCATGATTGAGCAGTTTCCAAGTTCTACTTGCTCCTATTCGTGTTGATATGCCATTTACCCTTTCCACTGCTAGCAGTGTTAATAATTATCAAGCCATAACACAGTACTGTAAAGTTCGGCAGTGCTTCAAAGGATGCATACATAGGTGAGCATAAAACGTCATCAGGCATTACATTTACACTTACAAAGTGTGTGACTCTGGTAGAAAACGAACTTCAAACCTGGCAACAGCAATTAAATTGTGCCTTGTCACATAATGGTATGCCAGGATTAACATTGTCATGAAACATGAAGCATTATCTGATTGAAGTTCATTTCACAAGTCCACCAAAACAGAGTATGCTGTGTTATTTTAAGCAAATTATGGAAGTACTGTACAGTGGTTTGTGTCTGTACAGTTTTAAGTTAGCACAGAGCTGTTACACATTTCATTTACAATAAATGCAGAAGTCAATAAAATGTGTGAAGAAATATTTGACAGCAAAATCATGAAATTATATAGGCTGGTTCATAATTGAGTCTCTTCTTAATCTACCTTTTTAATTATAGACAAATGTGAAAACAGTGACAGTGTCCTTTCCTCTATATGTTTAACCTATTATGACAAACTGTGAAAATAAAGGATTTTATACCTTTGCTAATGTTTGTGGTTTTAAACAGTTATTTTCGTTTTGTTAATCAGTTATCTTCCATATTATTTCTTTTAAACTTGTAAATACATTTAGAAAGTAGCTTTGTAAATACAGTATATTAAAAGTTCGGTTTGGTCAATAAGGCCTCAAGATTGGCTCTGCTTTTTTAGCGTGAAATCCTTCAGTAGCATAAAGGATACTGTCAATTCACTGTTTCAGCAGAATATACTGTAGGCCTAAATTGATAGTTCTTAATGCAGTCTTCCCAAGCATAAAATCACTTTTTTATGCTGAAGCCTTTGCTTTACTTTCAGACAAAACAATGAGGCCTCTTAATATGTTTAGGCTGAATTATGGGAAGAACAGCAGGAATAAAATCAAGGGCTGGGAAAAGATTGAATGAGCTTTACCTTTAAAAAAAAAAAATATATATATATATATATCTTATTTGAATTTTTGTATTAGTTTACTGTGATTCTTTTATTGTAATTTTTCTAAACAGGTTTCACATGAAACCATGAAAGGGACTCAAATATGCAACACCTAATCTATTTTCCAAGGGAATTTTACCCTTGAATGGTGCTTTTTGACTGGTCAGGGTTATTTATTAAATTTTATATTTGAAAGTATTTGGGGAATTATGTAAATTCTTTATATGAATCTGTTTATTTCATGAATTGTAAATTTCATAATACTCAGTTACTGAATTGGAAGTTTAGTAAAGTCATTCAAAATGTTCAAAGTTTATAATCTGTGTGCATTTTACATATATTTTAACAAGTGCCAGAATAGTTGTATTTAATATTGTAGATTTAATACTACTTGCACATCCCTGTGACAGCATTAACTTAAGTTATACAAGTTTACATTTAAAAAAAAAATAAAGCTAAACAAACAAGTAAGCCTGGGACATGTGTTCCTGTATTTCTTCAGGGGATGTGAAGCTAAGTATCAGTAACTGAGCAGGTTTGCTTCTCGTTTATGTAAGTAACTCCTGCTATGGTAGATACAATAAACTGCTGTCTCTCCCATTTACATATGCTATGAATTCAGCCTTTGGACTTGCATTGCAAGCCTCTGGTTGTGTATCTGATTAGAGGTAGAGCTCTTGCACGATATTAACAGTGTTTGTTTCTGACTGAAAAATTGTATTTTTAAATAACTTTTATTTGTATGGTTGTTTTTCATGATAAATAATTGAACAGTTTGAATGACTTGACCTGGTGTCATTTTCTTGCAATATAAACCGGTAACCTCACAACTCCACACTTCATCACCATATGAAGTAAATGAAGCTAGCTAAGCTGATGCTGTAACAATTAATAACTTACCATTAATGATTATTTTATAGCATGAATTTTAAAATATTTATTCAAATGATATTTTACTCTTGTATTCACTTTGGTTTTAGATTTGTGACATGAATATTTCAGTGCTGTTTTATTTTGTTCTGATGAATTTGTTTCTTGCTTGTAAATTGCTTTTTTTATGGTATAAAGTCAATGGGAATTGCTGTTTGTAAATTAAAATGCTTCTAGAGCAAATCTCTGGTGTCAGTGTCTACATTTAGATATTTAATTACTAAGGAACTTGCAGTTTAGATGCTTTTCCTGAAGTGTTACAAAAAATTGCAGTTTAATACTTACATACCAACTAGCAATCGAAAATATTTAGAGACAGACTACTCTTGAAGTTTCTCTTTTTTGTCAGCATTGCTTGTTTAGTTTGGAACAGATGATCATTTGAGTTTTGCAGTCCAAAACCTTGTCCAGCTCTCGAAGTGTAAAGTTTCCTCCTTGATATGGCTGGCTGCTTTTTACTTGCTTTAGTCGAGTGAAACAAACATGCTACATTTTGTTTACAATGCTATGCAAGTGCAATCTAAGTCATAAAGTTCTAAACAAATTTATCCTTTAGAGCAGATACTCTTCCTAAGGGCACCAAACTTTTGGGGAGCAATGGGGGAACAGAAAATAACTAGGAACTTCTTTCATATGGAAGTGGTACCTGTCTGGTGATCCTGGAAATGCAGTTTTCAGTAGGAATGGCATGTATGTCTTCGCACCATCAGAGCAACATACATGCGTAATGTGCACAGCAGCATCTGGATAGTGTGCCCTATAGCACAAGTGGGACTGTGAACTGTAAAAGTAACTTAAACAGTTAATGAAATAAAACATTCTTTCATTTAAATTGCCTTTTTTTTTTTTTTTTTTTTTTGTACATTTAAAAATTGTATTCTTTGGAAAAGCACAACATTGTAGCACTAGCAAAATGCAAATGTGCCACTATGGGTAGCAGTAAACTACTGGTCTTGGTCACCTGTCCCTGAATGCAGTGGAGTTTGGTCAAGGACATTAGAGGAAAGCTGTACTTTTGTGAAGGCTCATACTTCTAAGTCCACCATGCAAACTGAGCTTTTTTTTTTTTTTTCTAATTATGTAAGAACTATGTGTGTAGGAGCTAGTAATGCTGAGTGGGCACAAGAGATGTCCCTTTCTGGCAAACTAAGTTCTGGCATCAGAGGGTGAAGTAGTATCAGGGAAGATGTGTGTGACAGAGTGTAACAGAAGGCTTATGAAGGCAGTATAGAGCTGAAAAAGTGTCTACTGCTGTGGTACTATAAATCAGACTCGTGTTTAATAAAGACGTGTTCCTATACGAGTTCCCCAGAAGTCTTGTACTGCATAGAACTAAAGACAACAGATGTAAACAGGAAAGGAAAAAGAGCTTGGGTCAGAGGGACAGCTTGCAGTTACCAACACTGGACTTTTTCTGGCGTTGAAACAAAGGAGGGTTTCAAAGGATGATTTTTTTTAAGGCAGTTTTGCAAGGTTGGTGGAGAATTCATCAGTATGAGGCAGTATCAGAGAAAGTACAAAGGCACTTGTTTGAGAACATAGTAAGCAGGCAAAGGACAGTGACCCTGGCTAGGTATAAGTGAAATACGATTATAAGAGAACAGGTATATTGAGGATTAATAGGAAACCCCTTAACAGTGAAGATACACAATTGCTTTTGGAAGAGAAAACTTAGGAAAACAAGGGATATGACCAAAGCAACAAGATTAGAAAAACGTCTTTGTAGGTTTAGTGAGTCAAAACTTGTCAAGCTAGCCAAATAAAGCTGAAATGATGGTGTTGCAATCAAATTTTCACACCACATAGAACACAGTGTCTATCACTTCAAGAGCCATTTATCTTACATCAGGAAACTTCACAGTATCTAGTCTTCTCAGGATTGATTTCTCTCCTTTTATAGAGAAGAAAACTCAGATACAAAGACAGGGAGTTCCACTGTGGTCAGATATGAGATGACATAGGTCAATTGCCTGTGTAAACTGGCTGATAGCTTCAAAGGACCTGTTCTTTGTCTGTTTTGTCCACATGAAGATGTGGAAAGAAGAGAAGTTGTGGTGGTGTATATCAGATTATTTTAAGATTTAAAAAATGTCTTGACTATCAGAATAATTCTGATATTCTTTGCATTTAACACTTAGAAATTCTTTAGGTTTTTCTTTAACTCCCTGGTTTTTCTAGCTAACTTTACGCTGTGTTTTTGCTGCATAGGATTCTAATTTCATCCAGTTCTATCTAGGGATACACCACTGACCTTGGATAGTTCATATTTGTTTAAAGTTGCAATCCATGGCAATAATTAAAGCGCCATAGTACAGTATGTGTAGTTAAACTTCAACTTACCTTCTTTAGAGTTTGACCCTAGTAACTTGGAAAACACTTCAGGCTATTTCAGTATTGCTCTCCAATAAAAGAACTGTATTGCATAAACTAAAGTAACTTTCCAAAGCACTAATTTGGTAAAGCCTGAAAAAGGTTTTCTCTGAATCATTTCAAGCAATGCTGACAGAAAAAAGCACACACACAAAAAGTTTGGCTATTGAAGCTACTTAATAGTTCATAATTTAAAATAACAAACAAAACTTCTTGATCCAAGATAACACTAAGCCTGAACTGCTTATCAGAACTAATAGCAGTCTAGCTATTGTGTATGGATGTTTGTGTAATATAAAGATTTACAGGATGTTGCTTGGCACTGCTATATATCTCCTTTGCTGGAAATCACCATGTATGTAGCGGAGTCAGCAGAAGGAAAGATGTGGCCATTCACATGCAAAGCCTTATGTGGGGATGGGATAAATATCAGAGGATAGTAGAATTAAAAAGCAACAGTAGAAATTTTGACAGATTCTCTCAAAGCCCTTTAAGAGATGCAAAGTTCTGTTACTTGGACTATTAATTCTTAATTTAATTACTGACAATTTCAGTGTCAATTTGTACTTATTTCCCCAGTGCCAGTAAATCTTTGATGCATTTTGATGGTTTGCTATTTATAATGCTATTATTAACGCTATTTATAATAGTTTATAATCCCCAGTATCAATACAGGCTAGGGATGAAGGGATTGAGAGCAGCCTTGCAGAGAAGGATTTGGGAATACTGTTGGATGAAAAACTGGACATGAGCCGGCAACGTGTGCTGGCAGCCCAGAGCCCACCCGTGCCCTGGGCTGCAGCCAGAGCAGGGGGGGCAGCAGGGCCAGGGAGGGGATTCTCCCCCTCTGCTCCGCTCTGGGGAGACCCCCCTGTACTGCTGGGGCCAGCTCGGGGACCCCCAACAGCAGAAGGACCCGGAGCTGCTCGAGCGGGGCCAGAGGAGGCCACGGAGATGCTGGGGGGGCTGGAGCAGCTCCCCTGGGGGGCCGGGCTGAGAGAGTTGGGGGGGTTCAGCCTGGAGAAGAGAAGGCTCCGGGGGGACCTTATTGTGGCTTTTCAATATATATAAAGGCGGTTTATAAGAATGGTGAAGAAAGACATTACCAGGGCCTGTAGTGACAAGACAAGGGGCAGCGGTTTTAAACTGAAAGAGGGTAGATTTAGATTGGATATAAGGAAGAAATTTTTTACGATGAGGGTGCTGAGACCGTGGCACAGGTTGCTCAGGTTGCCACTTCGGTGGCAGCCGCCTTCCTGGCAGTGTTCAGGGCCAGGTTGGGCAGAGCTTTGAGCACCTTACCTAGTGAAAGATGTCCTTGCCAATGGCAGGTGGGTAGGACTAGGTGATCTCTCAAGGTCCCTTCCAACCCAAACCATTCTGATTCTGTGAATACTCAAACACTTCAACTTTTCTCATCTTTGCTGGCACATCTGAATCCAGCACCAAGAGCAAAACAGACTCTGAGATTGAATACTTTCAATAAAGGTGCTATAAAACACCACTTTTAGCAAAGCATGAGATAGAAGACAAAGATTTTGTAAAGGAGATATGTTAAGGCGGCTAGGGAAAAAATAAAGGTTTAGGTTAAAAAGTTGTGTACATGCAGACACACTGCACATTGTTTAGCTTTTTATAATGCAAACTTCTTGAAAACAGCTTGAGGGGAACCTAGAATACACAGTAAACATGACATGTCATGGAATATCTTTTGGCAATAATCATGCAGGGAAAATGGAGCCTGATCCCATGGATGCTACAGTTCATTAACTATATGAAATAGCATATTACAGTCGTATTGTGAATGGATTTAGGGAAAATTTAAATATTCAATCAAATGTTACTTAAACTATAGACAGGAACTTTTTTTTTTCCTGGAAATTATATGGCTAATGGTATTGTCTAAAATGACATTATCTAGTTATGCATGTTTGCCAACATTTTCAAATAACTCAGTACAGTGCAACCCTAAATCTTGTCTATGCATTTTTTTCCACCAGAGGGTGCTGGCCAATTTTTTAAAATATAAGTTACATAGGGATAATTTAAGGTGCTGTACATAGCAGAAAACTGAAACAGGAAATTAAAAAGAAGTGTCCAATCTTCATTTATTATGATACCCTCAACAAGAGCAGCTGCTGAGTAATTCCATTCTTAGCAGGGCTGTGTTTATATCCAGGATTTCAGAGGGTGTGTGCTGTTGTAATGCACAAGACGTATTTAGGTAGCAGTCTTTATCACTTTACAGTACTCTATGCATCAGTTTGGAAACTTGGACTTAGAGTCTCATAATTATTAGGATAAGAAGTGACTAGCTTTCAGATTGTTTGTTTTTGTTTTTTTTTTTTGTTTGTTTGTTTTGTTTTGTTTTTGTTTTTGTTTTTGTTTGGTTTTGTTTGTTTGTTTTTGTTTGTTTTGTTTTGTTTTTAAATAAATAAAAAGGGTGGGTGGGTGGATTGTAGCCCATGAACTGCTGTTTTAATGTTCTGGCATAGTGATATAGGACAGAGTGGAAAACATTTTGATAGAGTCCTGTACTCTTGCTGTAGTGGGAGACGATGCTGGAAGTTTTAGAGTAAAGTGTATGTAGTCTAGCACTACCAACAGGATAAACTATAATAAGAATAGTCTATGCCTATGAAATGATTGCGATTCATATGAAATTAATTTTAATTATTCTAGCTATTCAAGGGGTGGGGGGCATGGAGGAGAAGGGAATATGTAGAGAAAATACCTTTCCATGTAGTGTGTTTGGCGTTGATGTGGATGTTGGAGCTGTGAGCATCAGTATTCACAAGTAGATCCCAAGACTG